TCTCTGCAGTTAGTCATTGGAACCGACAAACCGTCTCATGCATTTTAAGTAGCAGCGTCAAGGCCAAGCTGCGTTTATGTCCATGGTAAACGGTCGGCACTGCTGAACGAACCACTGAACCAAAACCGATTGAAACCAGTCAGCGGTTCTTGGCTCCGGCTGAATCTGCAGCTCAGTTGACCTCCCACCCGTCAGTAAGTTTGGTCTCAATGCGCGCTGACCATCGGTCGTTCAGCGGGCGCATTTCGGGTCCGTCCTCGCCAGGATAAATGTGACATACCAGTGCGCGCGGCCTTCAAGTCTCTCTCATTGCCACCGTCCGCTGTATCGCTTAAACTACCACCGGCGCCCGCGGTCCCGTCACTCTCACAAATGCTTTCAAAAGCAGTGCGTTACCGTGCCCACCTGTAATAAGCACCCAGCGCGCTCCTATTGTCGGTCGAACACAAGCGGTGCTCATTTGGTCTAATGGCGCGCCGACAGACCGCGAATTGGGAGCGTCCGGCTCAAGGACGCGCTGCTGCCTATTCAGCACTGGCACCTCTGGGAGGCCAGAGACTGTCCGAACGGTATATATAGTTCACAGTGGACCGATCTGCAGAGTTGACGGGACTGTGTCAAGTGCGAACAAAGTCACTTATTAGCGATATCTTCTGGTCCTTCGGTGCATTTTAGACGGCTCCTCACTATAGCAACTTTCACAAACGGGCTAAGCAATACTGACAAAAATGCACAACGTTTGATGTCATAGCTAGTTTGCGGTAAAAAAACAACAAAAACTCAGGAGTGGCACATTACTTGCTCCAGAACAGCTCAAGTAAATAACCGCAGCACTCAAGTGTATTCAGAACATGCTGCCAAACGTTCAGCAGGGATTAGAGAGGCACAGCCAAGGTCCATGCATCGACACGTCTCAATCCGTATAGCTATCTGGATCAGCATGACCTCACCAATGACACAAAGCCAGTGTTCTGCCCAGTTGCTGCCACTACACACTCGCCCTGGCAGGTCGAGTGCCACGCCTGTAAAACTCGTGACCCGCGGCGTGCTCTCGGCCGGGCCCGCCTCCTCTCCAGTCCCCGGGGCCGTCAGCACGGGTCGGCACGGAGACACCGGAGCAGAGCCACCGCCATTAGAGCGGCATCCCATTTATTTCGATGAGTTGCTTCGACACGTGACGGTAACCAGGTCTTGTGTCGGTAATTGGTCCGGTTGTCAGCGCAATCCTTTGGGCCCTCGCCGGCGCCCCTTATTTCAGCCAATCGCTAGGAACAAAGAGCGCACCGTCCCTGATCTGTCCAACGTATCTCACGATGAGTTCGTGAGCTGGAGCTTCATGGACCGATCGAAGGGCGCGGCAGTGGACGACTCAAATACAACTCAGGGACATGGGTAACGAACTGATCTGCAAAAGATATCACTAAAGATTTAAGTTGATACTTGGGTTAGTTCGGCCAGCTTGCCTGTACTAAATTTTCCTCCACTCTCTAGACGTATGGAAACTTTTGTCTTGTCTGTTCGGTCCCTGATGATTAAAAAGTAAAGAGGTACAGCCGTTCTTTGGAAGATGCGTTAATGCGGTAATTATGATCGATTTCTGGAAAAGGCGTAGCGGAAGTGCAGATCAGAAGTGCCTGGCAGGCGAGGCTAGGGAACGGGGTAATCAGGAGCTCTGTCTAGTAACGGTAATCAGGAGCGGAATCTGAGACGGATGAGGTAAGGGGGTAATCAGGAGCGGCGTCTCGCAGCTCCTGAGCCGATCTCGGCGACTGTGATTAATGCTGGCGGCAGGTGAACGGGTTGAATGGCGCCTGATTTATCCCCGGGCCCCGATCGAGGCCGGCCATTGTTGGCCGCGCCGCCGATCGGTGAGTGTCGCCGCGCCGCGCCCTCCGCGATCGACTGGGGCGACACCGGGCCGGGCCACCAACGGACCCTGATGGATGGAGCCGAGACGCCGCGCTGGTGGACACCAGAAGACCAGGAATGTGCCCTGCTAATCAGGGCTGCTTGATAAGCCGGCCGATGTGACACTCAGGGAACTGCCCAGTCACGATGGCGTTTGGAAAGGGGTGAACCAACGGAAAACTCGACAAGGTTCCAATGACGGCCATCACACCAGGCCTAGGTCACCGTTCAGTCAGAGGGACCTGGCTTCCAATAGATTCTGGGAGCAGGGTCTTCCGGGGTCCGCCAACTGCTGTCTATTTATCACTATCTAGTATCTATGCTCTCGCATGCACCCTACTCATACTCATTATAGGCCACACTTCCCTCATCGGTTGTACTAATTTAAGAAAGTGAAATGATGTCTTGGGAAACTTACAATAAATATTCACATTGTGTGAGGATTTTAGTCGAACACCATGACTCGTGTCAAGGGAAGGCGTCGCCTGTAAACGTTTCAGTAATATCAGTTATACGGTCGTGCCCTGAACGTTCGATGAAACAAGGTTTGTCACTTCAATTTCAAACGCTTACCGAAGTAGCATCGCAACATTTGCACATAAAAGCTTTATGCCGTCTGAATTAAATCGCTACCTTGTCGCTCCTTTCTTTAGCATGCTAGATTCACCGCTATGACAATAATGCAGGTGCAAACCTGTCACATGATATTCATTTAATACGACGAGCAAATTAAATGAGCAAACGTTACTTGCCAAGTGGCGGGAGAACCGATAAAGCCGTCCATTTATTCAGCACATCTTCTGCCTACACACATATGTGGACTGCCACGAAGCAGGAAGCTGAATTATTTCCAGTCTGTCCCCAGCCCAAACAGCACACGTGGCGCGGGCATGGCATGTGGCCCCTGTGGCCTGTTTCCCATGCCCACGTGCAGTGGAGTACGACAACTGAGGAGGGACAAGGGACGTCGGTCAGTCCGAGCTCCGACACTGCCGACGGGGCGGTGACTTCAATGAATCTGGAGATTGGAGGGAGCGACAGTGAGGTCACCATGTCACATCCTCGCTCGAACTGCGAGGGTGCTCAGTGCTCACACCTCGGGCCCATGGAAAGCCATATTACTTGACCCTTGCTATTGAAAAAGCTTGATTGCATGAACAGCATCTAAAATCATAAAAAAATGTCGTCGAACGCATATCACGTATTTGAGTCAATCGTTTTTTTTTTCTTCTTCATCTTACAGAATATTCATGCGCTCATGAGACCCAGAGACGTGTTCATATTACCTGTCTAGAGACCAACTTTTGTCCGTCCCCTGGCCACGTGCTCGCTGGGCTCTCAGCCGGGTCCGTTTGCCACGTGCCTGCCTGCTGTGGTGCAATAAGGAGAGCGCTGAACATCGTATAATGCGGACATAACCATCCCGCCGGAGACTCGGCCACATAATCACCGGCTCCGGCCGGCTATAACGCTCTCTCATGTCTCTAACACAATGTAACGGGAGATTCATTTCATTGCCGAGTGAAAAAATCGCGCCCCAGCTGGGCGCTTATCTGTCGCGGAAAATGCGTGAAATTACACACCTTACGGTAATAAATAACGCGGTTCAGCAGCCGCGCCTGCACGCGCCTCCGGTTACGTCAATTAAACCGATCTCTGTGATTAAGATGCCCGCCGCCTTTGAAGTTCTCCATGAAACTATCGTGTTGCTGTCACGAGAGTCACAATATGTCGGCCAGTGCTGGGCTGTGCAGCCCGTAGTGCACCGTGTCGTTTTGTTCGACGGCTGCCCGAGACTCCGAGTTGGCAGGTCAGCCACGTGCCTTTTGGTTACTGCATGACGCAAAGCGTATTATGTGTTACGGGTCCATAGGTACTGATTTATTCTGTGATGGCGAGCGTGAATCATCGAAGGGGACGGTTATTTCGTAAGATGGATACATTGAAAAAGAAAAGGCCAGAATGAGGGTGTAGGCAACAATCTATTTCAACCAGGTTCCTGATTTGACAACGTGTAAAAAAATCCAGTGGCAGTGTCTGTGAGATATAAAAACGCATGACAAAATATGAATATCAAATAAACGGTAATTAGTCAATCCAGTGGGTAACAGACCTATGTGACAGCACATAGCCTGAATTTCCTCCTGCACTTGCACAATCGGTCCATTATGTTTTGGCTCCACGTTCTGGTACTAACCCAGTTCCCGGCTTATTTCAAAGTCAGTAGTCACCGTAGCATTGACAGAGACCAAAGATACAAGAGTCGCAACAAAATCATGAAGATTTGGTTTGAGATTTCCTTTGCTCCAGCCTCGGTTAGAGGCAATATACTTTTCAAATCATAACTGTTTTGTGTCCGTTTCAATCCTAGATGCTTGAAAGCATTTTCAACAGCGTATCAATAATGAAGGTCATATGCCGTTAGTATGGACCTCATACATTGCCATTTGCCTATTCATTTCAAAACTGGTTTGCTGATCTAATCCAATAACAAGTGCCGTTTCAGGCGGTTTCAATGCCGAAGTAAAATTACTTTTTGTTTCGAGCTATCGCTGGAATCGTTGTCACCCGCCGTCTCCCCTCGGTAATTAAAACGATAGAAGATGAAAAAAGTTGTAAATATTGCTACACTAGATCACCAGCACCCTTCGCACATTAAACATAACTTTTATCAGTTAGTTGGTGTCATATTTTGATATCTACTTTTTGCAGGATAACTGGATTAAAGTTTTTGTGTGAACGGGCGTGTCTCCTCGCAAAAAGGTCCAGAAAAAAACGTACTTGTGATTGGATGATGATGATGATTGGAGGAGTACTCGTGATTACTTTTGACGACAAGAGCAATAATCTCATTGCGCTCCTCTTAGAATCCTTCGATGGTTTAACACCTTTTTAGTGAACTGAAAACTTAAAGCGGCTTATAGGTTGAGTGGCTAAACCTGTTCTGTTTTCATCCACCCCTGATCACTCCCAGAACTGGGAATGTGAGAGAACTAATGTAATATGTTATAAATCAATCCGGCCCGCTGGCAATGAATATTCATTAGTCCAACTTGTCAAGTGCCTGAGGTTGTTGTATGTTTAAACAGGAATCACTTTTCGGCAGTTGTATTCTGCTTCGGACTGGCATATTCAATGACACATCTTGACATATTTCGTAATCGCATGGCACACAAATAGATATTTATACAGGTAACAGTAGCATTTCCCAGTCATCCAACGAGCGTTCGATCTCAGTATCGTTTGCATAGCACAACAGTTTTGGCAGGCAGACAGATGGCACTTAAGAAACATACAAAACAATCACATAAACCAAGACCTCTACACAGCGCTTATCACGTTAACATACATTGTAAGGCCCATGTTCGCACGGCTACACATTGGAATGAAAACTTTGCGTGAGCTCCGCAACGGCAGTGTCTCAAGGCACAGACTGTGGAAAGAGCAGGCCTCCTGAGGGCCTCGGGTGAACGCAGTCACCTCACCAGGGCCTCCAGTGGACCTTACCAGGGCCTCCAGTGGGCCTCCTCGTCGTGGTGACGGTTGTGCGCCACCAGGTCGAGCGGCTGCGGGCTGTCGGCACGGCCGGCGCACGAGCCGAACGACCGCTCCGACGAGCAGGGGCTGGGCGAACAGCGCGTCTCGGTCGGGTCCCAGGAGGGCGCCGGGCTGGCCGAGCCGACGCTGCACGAGGAGGCCTCCGAGCCGCCCAGGCTGGCCGCGGCCGGCTGGGCGCTGCTGGCGGCGGCCGGGGTCGGGGAGCCGAGCAGCAGGCCGGCCGGCGCCGGCTGTACGATGTAGCCGAGCTCGCCGCTGGGCAGCACGGCCGGCACCAGCTGCACGCCGGCGGGGCTGAGCACGGCCGGCGCCGGGTCGGACCGGTCGGCGGCCGGCGAGGCCTGCGGCCGGTACGCGCCCGCCAGGTGCACCATCAGCCGCTGGCGCAGCTCCGGCTCCGGCTCCGGACGGCCGCTCAGGAAGGCGGCCACCTCGCGCGCGCAGTCGGCGTAGCCCTCCTGGAAGCGCGCCGCCGGGGCGGCCGGCCGCGCCTGCAGCGAGCGCAGGTGCTTGACGGCCATCTCCAGAATGTCGGCCTTCTCGAGCTTGGAGTGCCGCGCCGGGTCCTTCTTCAGACCCTCCAGCACCAGGCTCTTCAGTTCGTTCAGACAGTCGTTGATGCGCGCTCGGCGCCGCTTCTCCATGATGGGCTTGTTTACCTGCGGGACGAAAGAATGAACTGTCAACTATCTGCTGACCGACATCAGACGGTCGCCGACAAAAAACTGCAGCACCTATGAGACATATTTGAATAGAATGCCTGGGGTACTAATGACTTGTGGCCTCGACGATATTGTCCAAAGGTTGGATTATACAGCGATGACAAAGTTAACCAAATTCTTTTTTAAGACTGTTCAAAAAAATAAGAACAAAATAAAATGCAAAGGACTTCACTCACCCTTCTGGTTTCTGAGATCCTTCCGCTGCTTGGCATGGCCGCTGTTCTGTGTGCTCTTCTATCCAACTCGCTCGCTCGCTCCCGTATGCTCTCCGCTCGCCGAAACACGCCCAGACCCTTGGACTCGCGGCACGCGACTGGCCAAGGCCCTATATACCAGGTAGGGTCGTCCGGCGATTCTACCTTTTCGTGACGTCAGCTCGTGACGTCATTTGGAGTCAAATCTCGAAGCCCCGTTCAATCCCCATGTAAATGAGCGATTTTTGAAGCACTGTAGAATGAAGTCTGCACAAGATATATCAAACCTAAGTATCTTATCTGAAAGAGCAGACAATTTTCTGCAAGTTATCTATTACGTGTTTTTCGCTAAATCTTTTGCTTTTTTCACAAAAGCGTAAAATGTCCCCCCATGTCTCCGCAGCCTCCCTGCCGCCGGCCGCCGCGCGGTCGCGGTAGTGTAGTGGTTAGCGTGCCCGCGCAGTATTCCAAAGGTCCCGAGTTCGAATCTACGCGGTGCGGAACTTTAATAGCAATTCCAAGCTGAATATGCGCACGTCCATATTATACTAATATTAGTATAGCTAAACTGTCACGAAGCTATCCATATAAATTGACTTCACCCCAAATATTGGCAAGATTCTATTAAAATATAAATTCAAATATGGCGGCTTGGACTGCCGCGTGCGTTAGGCTCCGCCCATAGCTCCGCCCACATGCGTGACGTCATTCGTGTTAGTGGACACACGCGGAGATAGGGGACGACATGGGCCTGCGACTGGCTGCCGGCCGTCTCGTGCGCTCGGTGTGAGCAGCACGACACCAGCGCCCTCTGCAGCGGCGGTGGTCGTGACGTCAGAGGTGGTCCGTGGGTCACGTGGCGCGTGTGAAGGCGGCGGTCGGCCGGTCGCGCGTCACCCCCTCCCCCGTTGGTGGGAGTGGTATTGAGCGACCCGCGGTAGGTGGGTGGGTTGGAGGGTGGGGGGTGGGGGGGGGGGGGGTGACAGATGACGGTCGGTGGTTTTAGCGGCGCGGCTCGTAGCTGCAGTCGGTCACGCGGCGGGCGGCTGATGACAGGTGACACTATGTGACAGTGACGGGCGGGGGCTGCTACCGGCTGCCGCCGGACGGCGATCGATTAGCACGAATGGATTTCGAGAAAGTAGACATATTTTCACAATTACCTGAAACGTAAAATCAAGCATGCACGTAATCTTTCTGCTGATGGTCAGTAACACTCAACAGTAACGGTAAATAACTGTTATGCATACGACTATTAGGTACCCTTGCGCCTTATTCCAAGCTAATTGGGATCAGGACCCACTACCCAGGTCGGATAGTTGAAAGTGTACGCTCATGGCTACCACAAAAGGATTCTGATCAGTTTTCCTTATGATGTTTGCACGTTTCAGATAAATACCTACCGTGATAGTTTTACCGAAATGAAAATCAACCTAAAGCAGGAAAAACTTCAAAAGGTACGGTACGGTATCGGATCCCGTATCCAGATCTCACCAGGATAGATTCAGACTGCGAGGCAACATCGGTACCAAGAAAGAAGCCTGGAGACTTCGATGCAGCATCCAACCGCAGGCGCTAGCACCAGAGACTGCGACGCAGCATACAAACCAAGAGGATATCACCGGAGACTGCAACGCAGCATCGCGACCTCACGGATAACACCAGACTGACTTGACAGTCGGTCCATTCATTTTCTGGTCAGCAACATTTTCAATTTGTATGATGACTGATGACTGTTGTCACTTAGGTAAGTAAGCATTAGCGAGTATGATGATGAAATTTAGAGAACCGATTGGCTACCGTTAAGAGGATTTTGCTTCCATGTTTGAAAGTGCTCGGTTTTGTTTTTCTGCGACGCACTTCATTGTTTCACTGCAAGTATAACTATTTGACATTTTTATCTTCATTCGATGGACATGCACGTTCTATAATTGTGTGATTCATTCGAAAATCCATTCCATTGAGCGATTTTCACTTTGTCCTGCCAACATTTGGTTCCGTACACCACGTCTGTCATGAGACTTAGACCAGTGCAGTGCTCAGAAGACTCTGTGATCTCGCCGTGCACCCTAATCCGCGGCTTTGAGACATCCGTGGCGCATGTGCGGCTCAGACGTCGCCGCCGACACGTCACACACGCACCATCACACGGCGCGGATAAGCCGTGTAAAAAGTGCTCCGGCACGGCGCGGCAGCGGCCGGGACGTCCACCGCGGTCACCCCGCTGGGCGACCCCCGTCAGTAGTCCAGCCCAGTGGACCGTGCAGAAAAAGGCCGCCGCGCCCGCACCGGGCCACCGCGCGGCTCGCTCGGGGTAAAAAGTGGCCGAGAGTGGCGGTGGCCAGTTTTTGTTCGGCGCGTGGCAGCTTAGGAAGAGGAGCCGGGACCCGGGCGTCAACAGGCTGGTAATGACCGCGACAGCGCTCCAGGGCGGGGGGAGGCGGGGTGTCACCGAGCGGGTGGTGGCCGGTGGGGTACAGGGTGTCCGGAAATTGATTGCGCACTCTTCTAGTCCACTTTACAAGGAAACAAAACATGCATGGGTCATGGTTTATTTACCGATATACCCTCCACCCAATCGCACACACTCCCTCATACGGTCGTCGTGCATGCCACACATCAGGTTATACAGTGTCTCTGCACTAATGCTGAGCCACGCTCGCTGGAGGTTCCTGATAAGCGCTTGCTCGGTGATAGCCGGCTCCATCATGTCGAGCTCGCTCTGCACGATAGCCGCAAGTTCTCGATGGGAGACGGGTCAGAGCTGTTGCCCAGTCACACACCCTTGTCCCAAAACCCTGGGAGCTTGTCCCAGCACCACCGTTGAGTGCTGGCGTCGTGATGAGCTGAAGCACCGTCTTGCTGGAAGATCGCCTCGGACATCTTCGGGAGCAGCTCGACCTGTGTTGGCGCCCCCGTCTGCCTCTTCCGCTTATCACGGACGCTGCAGACTTCTTCAGAACTCCTTCACGTAGTACTGGGCCGTCACGGTCTGACCGCGGGGGAAGATGTGGAGCTCTGACAGGCCCCAATGACTCATCATGCCTCAGACCATGAGTTTCAGCGGCTGCTTCACCGTGTCGATGGCAGGCACTTCAGCACTGTTGTGCGCCCAGACGCACTCGTTCTGGCGATTCAGCGGGTGCATGAGCTCGAACACAGACTCATTGCTGAACAAGACGCGCCGCCAGTCCTGAATGGTCCAGTTCTTCTGCTCCCGGGCAAATACCAGACGCTTCCGCTTCTGGGCTTCGGCCAGTTTTGGCTGCCGGCGCAGATTGAGCGGTTTGAGACCCAGGCACTTGGCCATGTAGTTGTGAACAGTGGTCTTCGACACCGCTTGACCCTTCTCAGTCAGGTTTTTGGCCAGTTTCCGCGTCGATTGGCGTCTTTTCAGCACGGCCTTAGCGAGCACGATTTTGGCCACTCTGCTCAGCACAGTTTTTCTCCCACGGCCCTTGCGATTCTCCAGTGCTGCACCGCTGCGGTCGAGAACCAGTCAATAATGAAGGGTCCGGCGAGATACATCCACTTGTCGGGCAACATCACCTACCGTCATCCCGGTTTCAATCATTCCAACCGCGCGGTAGCGCGTCGCCAAAGTGTGCTCCCTCGCCATTCCCGATATGGGGCCCGCGCACGAAGACTGCCTCTCGGAAAGCGACCTGTGGCCACTCACTGCCGCTGGGGTCAGGTCACCTGCTGGGTCACGTGATCACCTGACACGCTGGGGTGCCCGGGGGCGGGGTCGCGAACCTCCCTAAGCGGTTTGGCGGGAGCACGTGCAAGATACGTGAATATGGACAGTGTGCAATCAATTTCCGGACACCCTGTAGTGCAGTGGTGGGATAGGGGCAGAGCTGCATGCATCGAGCGGCGTCTTGCGAACAATCCTGGCAGTCGGGGAACATATCATGGTAGCAAGAATTGAAATCAATGCTTTACAGAAAATATACCGAATAACTTGATGCAGACGGTCTGGCACATCATTTTATCAAAGCTCGACGACGCATGTGAACAAAAAAGTTAAAGTCCTGATAGTTTCAAAACCTTTCTTTACCTTCACACTTTATCTGACTAGTGAGTGAGTCAACGTGGGTTAACCCACGATGTTTTCATTCTAGATCACGGTCATAACGGACAGAAACACAATACCGGACCGTGTGTTGACCTCTCGGGTCTAAGACATAGGAGCCGGGGCCAATGTAATCACTTCCCGTATGGGACTGCAGTTAACCCGTCTGACAAGAAAACGCTACGCTACAGCCCATGCAAATACTGATAGTTTTTTTTTTTTACCGGCGCTTGACAGCGGTTTCTCTTGTCTACGCTGGCCTTCCTAGGGCCTTTCACTTGGGGACTTTGAACATTTTTTTTTCTTCAATAACTCAGGCTGAGTGCGCGTTCATTCCTCGGGGCTGCTCGCACAATTTCCTTTTTTTCTTTAACATAAGCTCATAACGTCTTTTAAATATGTATAATATTCAGAATAGAGTTGCAAAGTTTTCCAATGGGCTGCTACCGGCACCGCCCCGCCCCACAAAAATTTTCTGGGATACCGGCATGCTACCACGCCCCAAGCAAAATACCGCCAAATTACCGGCATACTAAAAAACCTGCATTCTTGATTCTGGCTTACCCCTAAATGACCCTTTAATATACCTATTACCTACCATTACTTACTAATTGGTTGTGCTTTTGCAACATGAATGAGTATTCTTCCTTTGATAGACTACAGTAGATTCTTGATAATTCTAATTAGACCCAAACCTGTGAAATGCTGAGGTTCATGTGTTACCCCTACCCTCAGCAATGGAACTTCTACCACAAAATGTATTTTGCAGTGGCTTAGATTGCTGTTATTACAATTCAATAGCCTCTTAGTGTCCAAAGTTTGAATCATATGCTGATATTTTTTTTGTGCAAAATCAAAGATACCGGCATGCTACCGGCAAGACATGCCAGATACCACGAAAAACCTGCGGTAGTGAAAAATTACCGGCATGCCGGTAGTGCGGTAGGGAAATTTTGCAACTCTAATTCAGAAGCACGCGTGCTACCCGGTTCAGAAAGCCACTAAAACTCCAATTCTCCCTTCCACTACTCCCTGCGCCTGCACGCTGCA